CCTCCATTTGATTATTCAAACTGGTCAAATAGATTACTCGGTGTCACCGGGCCTACTTTCCTCATCATGTGTCCCAGAGATTTGAGTTTGCTCATCAAGTAATTTACTCGCTGATTTCCCCAGTTTCGTTTGTCGCTGTGAAACACCCAACGGGAAAAGTATGAAAAGAGAAATACGATTCAATTCAATGTGACCAGTAGGATTAATACAAATATAAAATTTGTCACATAGCTGATTGATGTTGTATCCAGCAGCTCAACACCTGAATTTCATAGACGAACATTTTTGTAATCTTTCGGTCCACAAGGGCTTTATATATATATATATATATATATATATATATATATAAAGAAATATAGTCTTAAGGTGTGCTATATTTATGGAATAAAGTGCTCAATATCAGAGATAGAGCGTGTATAAATATAAAAGTGAACATAAAAGTCAACACTTAGAGGCGACAATCTGTTTCATGCTACATGCTATAACTTTCGCTAAAGTGCATAAACAAGGAAAGAAATTGTTTAAAAAAAATAAATATTTCCTGTAAAACAAATTCGTTTTTAAAATATGCATTTTTCTATTTGCCATGTCCCTTCAGAAAGTGGGCGATAGCGGCTTTCCACAATTTTTGTAGCTTTGTGTGATTGTTGCTTTTTTCTATTCCTCCTAATCCCTGTTCTGACAAACATTTACACAGTCTTCTTAGACAGGTCATTAGCTGCTTTCTTCTGTCCCTTCTGCTTTCAGCATGTCCTGTGAGTATTAAATTTTCCAAACTCTCTTTCCTCATTACTCTTTATGATTCGAAATATAAGTGTCTTTTTCCCCTTAATTTCAAGTTTTCCTTAAAACTTCATTTTCGCTAACATGTTCTACCCATGGTATTCTCAGTATCCTCCTGTATAACCAAATTTCTATTGCGTTAAATTTATTCTTCACTTGTAAGGAGATTTTCCGGCATTCACTGCCATATAAGAGGGCCAAAATTACATAATGGTTCAGAACTATTTTCATTGTTTCTAACGAAATTTTCCTGTTTCTTAATACTTTGCTTAGCTTTTGGGAGGCATTTTTTGCTATCCCAATACGCCTTCAGATTTCGACGTCACATTTTCTGCCCCATGTTAAAACATGACCTAAATATTTAAACTGTAGTATTTGCTTGATTCTGACGTCTCCAATTTGTAGTTCCCATCTTGGATTAACCCTTTTGCTGACAAACATAAATTCTGCATTTTTTTTTTTTTTTGAATATGGTTTTTCCACCCACAAAATTTCCGCATACTGTATTTTTTTTCTTTATTTGACCGTTCTCTCTAAACCCTAGAGACGGTTGTGCATGAAAATGTTACTATGTCAGCAACTTTTTAATTACTCAGATCTGCATGTCTGGCACCAGGGGCCAATAAAGTCAATAGGGGCAGGGAAAGTCAGCAGGTCACCTACGTCGAGATTGTGTGGATGACTGGCGGAATTATTCAGAGCTACAAGACATAAGATGTGGGAAGCCATGATCAACCTGCTTTGAAGAGACATGGCGCGTAGAAGATCTACATATCTCAGCCTACTTATATCTATTTACTTTTGCTCATATCTATATATGTATTAATCTGTTCTAATCTATCCTTCGTATTCAGTTCATATTTAATTGCGAGCGTATCTATCTATCTATGTAGCCCATTCTGTTAGTATCTGTCTATTCTTTATCTCTCTTAAATATCATTTATTTATATATATATATATATATATATATATATCCATCACGCTAACATTTCTCTCTTAAACTCTCTACCCGTCTGAATACCTGAAATTATTCTTCATGTGCACACCTGGTCTTGCCACCCGATATCTTTTCGCCATTTGTCATCCTCAAAACTTGGCATCTCTTGAAGGCATTACTCACAGATCAAGTGATAGAATACATTCCGATTGAAATAACTACTTTAAGAAAACAAAAAAGAAAAACAATCTACCATACCCCTTCATAGGCGAACAACTATCAATCCCTAACAATTTAAATCCCGCACCCTCGTTTATCCCATTTGCTTCCGCCATTTTACTGTTATTTTCATTACCGCCTACGCACTAAAGATCCCGCCTTTTGTCAACCGCCCCAACACACTCGAATCTTCTGCTCAAATCCCTGCCTGAAAATATGTTGCTTCCATGAGGAATAGAAATATTGTCTTTTATTCACAATGTTTATACCACCCGCAGTAACCAAAACGAAGAAAATGTTGACTAAAAACAGAACAGTTTTGACATAAACTGAATCTAATTTAACAGTTTACAGCGATATCTACCCTCTTCATATATATATATATATATATATATATTATATATATATGTGTGTGTGTGTGTGTGTGTGTGTGTGTGTGTGTGTAAATATATATAGAAAAATAGGAAAGAACACGTTAGGTAAATAATCCGAAGTTATTTAGTAATTCTGTTTTTACTTTAAAAAAAAAAACAGTGCTCAATACAAAAGTAGAGCCTAAATTATTTTTGAAACATGAGAACTCTTATGTAGCAGAAGGAATCATATTTTTAAAAATGATTATAATATATATATATATATATATATATATATATATATATATATATATATATATGTGTGTGTGTATATATATACATATATATATATATATTTATATGTGTGTGTGTGTGTGTGTGTGTATATGTGTGTGTGTGTGGGTATATATATATATAATATATGTGTGTGTGTGTGTGTGTATATATATATATATATATATATATATATATATATATATATTCTAGAGTGTGCTGCTTTTTATATCATAAAGAAGTAATTTATACAAAGAATTAATTAGCAATGTTAATGAGATTAATGGCGAAATCACTTCGCTAACAAGACTTAATGAAACATTAACTTACTATCAATTCCTTGAATAATACGATCCTTATATTTGTGTTGTTGTATATTTGAGTTGTCAGATGGAATTGACGAGCCAAGTACTTTCAACAATTTCAAATTGTCATGTTTAGGGCGCAAATTTTCACAGGCAAAACACCAAGACGAAATATGTGTAGTGTAGACCAAAATATGTTTTTTATTTTTTCAAATATGCTATTTATTGACAGTTATATTATTTTGAAGCGTGCGATGACGCGATGCTAGAGTTCTTGTTCAAATCTACAAAGTGAGAATTTTTTTTGAATTTTGCAATATGATAAATGCACGAAATTTTGTTGTTATATATGTTTTGCAGTTAAAGTGGCATTGACTTAAGTTCAATCCAAATAGTAGAGTAAAATATCTTAATATTTTTCCACAGAATTTAAGATTCTTAATTTACTTACTGTGGATCTTATTTTCATAAATATATTAGTGTGCAGCTTTTATATTATATCATAAAGAAGTAAATTATACAAAGAATTAATTAACAATGTTAATGAGATTAATGGCAAAATCACTTCGCTAACAAGACTTAATGAGACATTAACTTACTATCAATTCCTTGAATAATACGATTCTTATATTTGAGTTGTTCTCAGATGGAATTGACGAGCCAATAAAAGGACCGTATCAATACGATTAATGAATTTTATTCATTTTTTTACGGGGTCTGATTTTCCAAGAGGAAAAGAAAATGTCGATAGTATTTCACTATCCACCAGAACAGCCAAATGCAACACATTTGTTAACCATTTATATTAAACAAAATATCACAAAAAAACTTTAATGCAATGGACTATGGAGAAAATTTACCTAAAACGTTCATTTGCAAAACGGGCCGTATACGCAATTGAAAATCATAAAAGTGAGGTAACTCACAGGCGTTTATAATTCGTAGATTACTATAAAAAATGTGTAAATATGCATTTTAATGTTGAAAACATGTATATGGAATTGAAATAACGTCTGATAAAGTCTACGTAATTTTCGTTGTTAATTTACGTTCTAAGAATTCAATTTTTAAAGTTACCTCCCTTTTAAATTAGCAATTTTCTAAGCAGCCATACACGTTTTTTCTTTACATTACATCGGCCCGTTAGAATTCTGCTTATGTGACATATGGCGCCGTATAATACTAGTTGACCATATCCAGACCTGTCTTTTTCAAACGATTACTCGTTTAGCTCTATGAAACGATCCCTGTTTTCTCAGCGTTTCCTAGAATTCAAGATATTGAAAAGACTGTAGAGGACTGTGCGGGTTTGAGTGTTATTGTATTAGGGACCCGTGCTGTTTATTCATGCTAGAAGGTCCAACTACAAGAACAATGCCGGACTCAAGTTGTGTCCAACCGAAGATGTAAAGAAAACAAACAAGACCGATATATATCTGTCAACAAATATACGTATTAAACAACAAATTTACAAGTGACAAAGACATTAACATTTGTGTTTGTGTGTGAACGTAAAAAGTTTGTATTTTGGTGAATGCTCGTACGTACGTGTATGTGTGTATAATGTTCACGGCGTCTCCCACAAATGGGAAGACGCGGATCTCTACGAGAGATCACATTTTTAAATGTGTCCACTGAAATGCAAAGTAGAAAAGAGAACGAGGCAAGAAGTCACCCAATATTTATAGTGTAGGGAGAGCGACTCCTAGTGAACAATTAGGGAATTAAGGAGGAGCTAACTCCGACAAGACCTTCATGTAGTCAAAACCGAAATTGCTATTTTGAGAAAAAACGAAATTGCTATTTTGAGTAAAAGCCTTTAGCTCAAACGTAAGCAAATCAAAGAAAATAAATTAATAAAAGATTTTTTCAAATTAATAAAATATTTTAATAAATTAATAAAATATTTTTTGGTCTTTTATCCTCAATAACTCCTTGCGTCTTAGAAGCTTCATCACCTTGCTTGATTAAAAAAAGAAAAAAACCCAGAAAGCTGGCATAATGTAATAAATACTTTGATGACTGAATAATAATGATATGAATTTATGTATGATTAAAATATTTTACGCAATAGGCGCTGGAAATATTTGGCCATTTTTTTCTTTCTTATTTATTTCTTCTTATTCTTAGGAAGTGGTACGATCGACTTCCCTGAATTCTTACGGATGATGTCAAATCAGACAGAAGACTTTGATCACGAAACAGAAATCCGGGAGACATTCCGAATGTTTGACAAAGATGGTGATGGCTTCATCACTGCCGGCGAGTTGCGCTACATGTTCGCGAACATGGGACAGAAATTGAGCGACGAAGAAATCAATGAAATGATAATGGATGCTGATGTGGACGGAGACGGTCGAATCAATTACGCGGGTAGGTACCGGAAATGATGTCATGACAACACCCTACACCCTCATCTTGTGCTCCCACATACCCCCCCCCCAAGAAAAAAATAATCAATTCTGGACTGATCCTTTTTTTCTTCTCTCTTGATTTTCCCATGATTTGAGCAACTCGGCGATTATAAGCCCAAAAGGTGAAGAAACCGGTAAAAGAAGAGTATGTTACGCCAATCCATCTCGCAGCCATTTTTTTTCTTTCTTTTACCTTGGCTCGATTTTCGATCTATAATATCGGTGGATAATACGCAACTGTTTAGATCACCAGACAAGTCACGTATATTTGAAGGATTTTCTTTTAGCCATTTTCCTAATCAGGAGTGATTGTCTGCCTAGAAAGCCGGTATTCAATATCCTTGTTTTTTATTTACATTCAAACGCTGATCTCTGGTAATTACGTAGCTATCTTAGCTACCTGGCAGGAGTGTACTATTTCGTACTTATAAATAATGTATCATATTAGGTGTACCCTAAAATGTAAACATAATTTTTTATTACTTGTATTATTTACGGACTTTTATCCTCATCTTCATTCCCATATTCACAACGTTTCGGCCATTGTACGCTCTGGCCTTCATCAGGTGATTGGAATTTAGAACGGAAACCTTTATTTCGTCCTCTGGGGTAGATTGTTCTAGTTCCACGTGACATGCCTCTTCCGGGTGTCTCAGTCATTTCCCTTTAACCAAGTTTTTGGTTCATCACTGCTGTGGCCTGGTATTGAACTCACAACTCTTTGGGTCTAGTGACTGGATCTAACCAACGTCTTTATCGGTTCGAAATTCCAATCACCTGCAGAAGGCCGGAGCGTGCAATGGCCGAAACGTTGTGAATATGGCAATGAAGATGAGGATAATAGTCCGAATAATGTAAATAATACGAGTAAGCATATCTCAGAGATATAGATAGATATTTTTATTTAACCCTTTTAAGACTTCTGGGAAATATCTAAACTAATCTATACTGCTGGAATATATATATATATATATATATATATATATATATATCTTTTATAAATATATATAGGTTGGATCTCTAGGGAGGATCGAAAACCACTAAGTCGTAGATTAGATGAGGCACAACCATTACATCACGTCGAAGGGCCATAAGGATTTTCGAACTCACTATTCGAAAGTCGAAGATTGAATTTAGTCAGAGATAAAGCTTTGCTAACCATTACATCACGTCGAATGGTCCATAAAGATTTTCTAAGCTTAACAAAAAAGTGGTGAAAGTACTGAAGATTGAAGGCCGAAATTGATCTGAAGATTGAATTCACTACGTCGAATGGTCCATAAATTGATCTAACGAGACAAGAAAGTTGATTAACCATTACATCTAACGAGTCGAATGGTCCATTACAACGTCGAATTTTCTAAAGATTTTCTAACTTAAAAAAGTGGCACAAGGCCGAAAGTACTGAAGATTGAATTCACTACTCAGCCACAATTGATCTAACGAGACAAGCTTACTAACCATTACATCACGTCGAATGGTCCATAAAGATTTTCTAAGCTTAACTTAAAAGTGGCACAAGGCCGAAAGTACTGAAGATTGAATTCACTACTCAGCCACAATTGATCTAACGAGACAAGCTTGCTAACCATTACATCACGTCGAATGGTCCATAAAGATTTTCTAAGCTTAACTTAAAAGTGGCACAAGGCCGAAAGTACTGAAGATTGAATTCACTACTCAGCCACAATTGATCTAACGAGACAAGCTTGCTAACCATTACATCACGTCGAATGGTCCATAAAAGATTTTCTAAGCTTAACAAAAAAGTGGCACAAGGCCGAAAGTACTGAAGATTGAATTCACTACTCAGCCACAATTGATCTAACGAGACAAGCTTGCTAACCATTACACCACATCGAAGTGCTTAAATCTGCTGGGATGTATCATGAAAATTATTGTGAATGAGATTACAACTGCAGGAAATTACGTCATCGTAGGAAGAGACCTACTGAAAAATTAATTTGTATGACATGATTGAATGAGAAAGTCATGTAGGTAAATTGATCTGGTAATTCTGTGTTTTTCAGCCCAAGAGTGAGTAAATTATTATTTTTCTTTTTTAATATAGATTTTATGATTTCTTTTACTTCAAACTGTATAAAGTTAGAAAAAATTACCTTTATCCCGAGAAACATTTTGAGTGAGATGATTCTGTTCCAATAGCTCTTTTGTTAGTGTTGAACGTGTTAATCGAAATATTAGTTCAGATGTCAAGGTTTATACTTGCAATATCAAAATTCTTATTTTTAAAAACTAACTTATTTATCTAAGCCCAGTAAGACCAGACTAAATAGGAGTCCAGGGAAGAGGAACACTGCGTTGCATCAACTTTTTAAGCGTCTTGAAAAAGTTAAATGCGGTTGATGCAAACGTTTTCTACGTTTTTAAACAAATTCTTCCGTCAATGAAAATTCGTTGAATCATTTTTCAGCCATTTTAAATGACTATATGCACCTGTGGTGGACTTCACCACATTAATTTAACTTTGATAAGAAAACAGGACTCACTCAAGAAGAATAACCACAAGACATTGTTGCACATAATATATATGTATATTAACAAGATGTACAATATCAAACAACGATGTGAAAGAAAACATGCATTTAAGTAAGAAAAGTAGAATTAATCAAGAGTTGCCTCTCTTTGACTGCAATTTAAGAGTTCAGTGAAAGATAATTATTTGGTTTAAAGTTTACTGGATAAATGTTCATGATATGATTGTTCTGGTGATATTACTGTTGAAAAGTATTGTTGTGTCAAAAGAAGTTTTTAGTGAAGGTGTACAAATTATCATCAGCATGTAGGTGTGCGTGTGAGTGAGAAGGTTGGCGCGTGGTTAGAACTGGAGTTCCAACTGTCGTAGATTCGTTTAGCAGTTGAGGTCTCACTAATTGAGATGAGAAAAATCTTGGCTTAAATAAGCGACTATAGGCTCCGATTCGTTGCGCGGGAAAATTATTCTTCACATGCAATCAATCAGCGAGCGAGCTTTGGGGAGACTTAAGGAAGCTTTTGTGAGCCACTTCTCCCAAAAGTGCACAAATTTGACTACTTAAAAAATAAAGCGATTCCAAAATTGTCGCATTACTGCGATTTGCAAATTTCCTGTAGAAAATGTATTAGTGATTTATTAGCCAATGATCGTTTGGCATTGTATATATGATTTTGTGTTTGTATGTATATGTTCGTGCGTAAGTAGGTTCGCACACATCTTTCAGATAAATTATTCATTTCATTATACTGCTTTTGATTCGATGAATTCGGGACAATGTTTAGATATTGGTTAGAATGGATTGTCAGACAATAAGAAAAGTTCGAACTATAATGCGTACTTAATATTAATGACCTTATGCCAGATTTAGAGGAGCTGAATAAATATCTATACAAAATACAAACGTTACTATATCTATACGAAAATTGAATTATTAAACATCAATAATATATATACAAAATTATACATTAACTTATCAATAAAGATTATAACGTTTGGTAAATTTGCATATTAAGCCCCGGAAACCAATTGTAATAAAAAATTTTCATTTTGGTGTGAAATTGTCTGATTAACTCCAAAATGACACTAAAAATTTGCGGACGAATACCGTTTAGGAAATATCGACAATTCAGTTCGACCTTATTCGCGTTTATCCAGCCGCCATTATTGGCGTTGTTTACATACGTTTCCCTCGATCTGTAATGCGCGAAAGCTTACTTTTTACTGGTCTTCTTACACGTCTTGATTACTACGCAATTTTCGTGAAATTTAATTTAAAACGCGCATGTTTTGCTTAATACACGAATTTTAAAAATAACCCAACAGGAAAACATTATTCCTGATAGAAAAAAAAAGGAAAACATCATTTTTTTATCCTTACGGGTAAGCATGTTTTTTTATCTGGTGAAAAACACATTGTTTTGGAAATTCTTGCAAAAATCAAATAATTAAGGAAATTTTCACGACACAGTTTTTTTTCTTGTAATTTTTATTTTATTTTACGTTATTTCTTCTTCTTTTTTTTCATTTTTACTGATATATTTGGAATAGTGAGGCTTTTTCTGTCAGGTTACTTTTAAAATTTCGCGCATTCATTTTAAACTTCGCGAAATGCGCAGTAATCAAGACAATTGGGGTTTCCGCGCATTACTAATTGAGGCAAACGTATGTAAACAATGCCAGTAATGGCGCCGGTTCCGTAGCTGTAACGCGAATGAGGTCGAACTTACTTAATCGATAAATCCTAAACGGTATTCGAGCGCAAACTTTTATTGTTATTTTTTAGATAATCGTGTAAATTTACATCAGAATGGAAATTTTCATAACAATTGGTTTCCGGGGCTTAATATGCAAATTTACCTAACGCTTTAGTGTCTTGTTTTACTGACAAAGTTTAGTATAGCACAAATGCGTATAGAAAGATGAGTGTGTTGCGCCAGTCTTCAAACTGGGGAAGGTACAGGTTAGGTACAATTCTATAAGATTAAATATAAATAGTGGCTGAAATGCAGGTTTTATGTGACATCAGATATGGTAAAATTTTGATAATCTCGGCTGGACATATATTGATTCTGAGACCCTCTTAAAGATCTTATTTGATATTCTCTCAAGGGTGAACTATCTTGAACAGCTGTATATTTCGTACCCGTGTCACTGGTCAGTATTTGAACACAGATTAAGAACCATGATTTCAGATATTGATTTTTAAAGCAGGCAATCTTCCCCGTTTTGTGACTGGCGTATCACGTTTATAGCGCCTGAGTAAAAATTAGCATACCAGATAAGACCCGGGTGATACATTTGAGCCATTGGTTTTGAGGTGAAAAAAGAGGCATTATATATCATAAAATACGGCACCTTATTTACCAGTCAGTAAGACATGCTGTAATCTTTCAGCTATGTGTTAAATCGCAGGGTAGATTAAGCTCTTTAGCCTTAGTAGAGCTATCAATGGAGAGGAAACG